TGTCTTTTTGTTTTTTTTTTTTTTTTTTTTTTTGTGGGTGTCTGAAGATGTGAAAACATCATATCTTGCTCTTGTTTCTTCCTGTTGCTGAAGCTTGTGAAAATATTAACGTATAATAAAATCTTGAGTGGCTTGGACAAGTGGTTTTACATTTTCTGTAAATGTCAAGATTTCAACTGATACTTCGTAATATAAAATGCCAATCTAATAGTATTTGAGTAGATACGAGAGAAACAAAATCCAGACAAGGTGGTTGGACACGTGGCGTGAAATGATTGGCGTGCCTAAATTTCGTCTGGGGACTTCGGCAATCTAAGTGGTTCTTGTCAAGTGTGTCTTGTTGCAGCGTTCGACCTTCGTCCTGGGAAGAGCTCTGCATCAATGGCGGGGATCAGCAGCTCCACAGCTCTCTCTTTCACCAGGTACGCCGGCACGACACGACCCTCTTCCTGTCCTCCACGGATTGTTGTCGATCGAAGCTCGGCTACTTCAAAATCCGCCATTTTCGATGACGAATGGATGAATTCTTCCTGCAAAATCCGAATTAATGATAAATCTCTCTGTATGGCCTTCGTGCAGCAGCAACGTAGGGACAAAGAGGCTGAAACCGGAGATTCGGTCGAGAAGGAGTGTGTCCGGTGGCCGGAGAAATCTGAGGGTAACGGCGGAGGTGAAGTTCGTGAACGGGGAGGAAGCGAAGCAGCTAATAGCAGTGGAAGGATACGCGGTGGTAGATGTGAGGGACAAGACCCAGTTCGAGAGAGCTCATATCAAGTCTTGCCACCATGCCCCTCTCTTCATCGAGAATCAAGACAACGACCTCGGTCAGGACCAGAACCCCCAGCGCTGCTACGGTCTATTATGGTAAATCTAATGACATCCCGAATGAATGCAGGGACGATAGTTAAGAGGACACTGCACAATAACTTCTCGGGTCTGTTCTTTGGGCTACCGTTCACGAAACTAAACCCGGAGTTTGTCCGAGCCGTTAGGAGCCAGTTTTCTCCTGAAAGCAAACTCTTACTCGTCTGCCAAGAAGGCCTTAGGTTGGTGGTAATGGTACAATCTCATTAGTTAGTACTAACACTGTAAACATTCACTTTAATGGGTTTCTTCCTGTCAAAGATCTGCGGCTGCGGCTAACCAGTTGGAGAAAGCCGGTTTCGAGAACATTGCCTGCGTAACGTCAGGGCTTCAATCTGTCAAACCAGGTCGGTCCATTTGGGTTATCGGGGTTGATGTTCTGTTTGTGGAAGAAGAATGACGGGATGGGTATGTACATTTCTATAGGGACATTTGACTCGGTGGGTTCGACCGAGTTGCAGGACGCAGGCAAGGCTGGGCTGGTGACGATACAAGGCCAGATCTCGGCGGTCCTTGGAACTGTGCTCGTTTGTAAGTCTGACTCTGACCTGAGATTGGTAGTCAAAGAGAGTGTTGGATTTTGGGGATGTGGTCTGATTGATTATAGCGCGTCCTGTAATGGTGCAGGTGCGTACTTGTTCATCACCCTCTTCCCGGACCAAGCAGCTAAGTTACTTCCTCCGAGCTAGGAGACCGAACCCTAGTGGAATGATCGCTTTTGTCCTGTTAGATGTAAAGGGGAAAACACTCCAAAGAAAAAAAAAAAATAGAGGGCCATTGTTTGGTAACACTACCTTTTTATCACGCAAAATATGCTGCCAGTTTATAACAAATTCAACAGGGCGATGTTCTTCTGCTCGGAGAATAGGGATCAATACTCTCGGTGACATTGCATTAGGTTTTCAAGAGAGAGAGAGACAGCAAAGTGGGGTTGAAATGTGGAAAGCTAAAATCAACAAAAATAGACAAATCTAAAAAGCTCTTGAGAGGAGGGGGGGTGATGTGCAGTGTTAAGTATGGATGCCATGTACGATGCATACCGACCCCGACAACGACGATGACAGGCTAAATTCTTTTAGCATTACGATCATCGGCAGAGAGGGAAATGGACTCTTGAGATGGCTCTACATGGGCGGGACGAGGCAATATCCATCACTGTTGTATCATCAGTCACCTTGTAAGCAGTAGAGCTGACGGATATTTCCCGTCGCTGTAAAATTCCCCATTGTTAGATAAAGATGTCAGTATGAAGACATCAGATTAACATGGAAGCCCGATTCTATCAATCATGGAATGTCATGGCATGATATGGCATGATAAAAAAAAAACTCTATACGGCATTGCCAATAGAAAATGATCAATTTCAGTGTTATTACCATAGAGCCAGTCTTTGAAATATAGATGGAGTGCGCTTGATAGTTCCCGTTTCCTGTTTTCTTCGAGAGGTGCGCCTCTTAATGATTGCCTCGTTTCTTCCAAGTTCTTCAGCTGAAAAGGGAATTTTGAATCAGGCTCGGGTGCGGAAATACTGGGTAATCCAAAAGGGAAAAGAAAAAAACAATACATTTCTCTGTTGTGTTGCCATATAAGCATCTGGTAGTGGAAATGGGTTGTCTTTCGTTGAACCAACGGACTGACCCCCGAACCAATTTGGGATCTGCACAGAGAAAAGTTGAGGCAACGGAAATAACCCATGATCACATGCTCCATATGCAATATAATTTGTCACAAGAGTTAATTGCATGACAAAAGAAAAAGTAGAACCGACCAAAAAGTTAGTGAACTGGTCAGGGTCCACACAGGCAGCTGACTCAGCCTGTGCATCAGAGACACCAGCAGGGTGTGACAACGAGTCATGTGGATCAACTGCTCCTAATGCCAATGGTTCGTTCCATTTGTTGATAGTTGGCTCAATCCCCACTTCAGCCATGTGCTCTTCTAAGTGAGAATAAAATGTATTATATGGGGCGACCTGGAAATATACATTTATCATTTTATCCAAGTCAATCTGACGCCAGCAGTTAAAAACAGTAGAAGCACATACATTCACCGGATTCAACATCTCAAAGTACACTCAAATAAAAGGAAATCAACTGTATCTTCTCAACGTACCGCCGGAGCTTTCTGCTAAGCAAATTAGACTACGGAATGCCCGAATGAATATCTGGATGTCCAGGATAATTAATATTTGTACGAGCCTCTAACAGGCAGCTTTATCATAGAAAAATGCATATGAGAAGAGAGAGAGAGAGAGCCTAATTGTAGCATGTAAAATGTGTAGCCCTATTGCCATAAAGGTAACTAAGTACTTTCATGCCTTACAAAACTTAAACATACATCAGCAAAAAATCAACAAAGAGTTGAGATTCTTAACCTGCAGTTTGTGGTTATCACCAACGATAAGAGGTCGCTGATTGACTCCCAAAAAGAATATACATTCACGGCAATTGGCTATGCAAATTCGTTTGGAAGCTGCAATTATATGCACTCTCTCACAGTGCTCAACTCTTACTGCCTGCAGAAAAAATCAAACTCACCTGGCATAAGATGGCAGAGATATTCTATTGGCAATGTGCATCTTCAAACCTCTTCTTATAAAAGAAATGCATAATCCTAGCTGTATCAAAGCATACACAGGAGGGAGCATGTTTGTAGTACCTTGCCAACAGATCCCAGAACTATAGTAGCATCAGAACATCCATAGACAGTTGCATACCTCAACGGCGCTAAAAGATAAAGCACAGAATCATGACAATTGACAACCTGCAGTATACAAAATACATACAATTGAGAAACCAAGTGAAGAAAAGATAATGAAGAAGAAAGGACCCCAACTTTGTATTCTCAAGGTTTGTTGATTAAAATGTACATTAGCCGTTGAAAACGTACCTTCACAGATGTACCTTTAAGATCTGAGGCATGTTTAACAAATGAAGTCTTAGAAACTCCCTCTATAAAACATGGGCCTCTAGCACTAGGTGAAGCTTTATTTGCAGATGCACAAGCATCAGACATTGCATCATCTTGATTGGAGGCATTCGATAGCCCATTCTCTTTCCCAGAAATTCTTTCTGTAATGCTTTCTAAACTGGAAGCTATATTTTGCAGCAGCCAATCATGCACTTCGGAAGCAGAGGCAGGAACAGCAGGCATATCAGGATCTGAATTTGCAAAAAATGGAGTAGCTTGGCCCAAGGGAGCTCCATCAGATCCCTTATCCCCAAACTGAACCAGAAAACCAAGGTGCTCAAAACCCTCCATAGACAATACCTGGGGAAGAGATTTTGACAAAGAAGACAAATAAGAGAAGATTTATCCATAAAGAGATAAACATGTAGTATGACAAAAAAATTCTTATTCCGCTGTAGGATTTCATATTGAAACAGATTGAAATCAAGAGACGGTAACACATACCAAAGGTTCATCTCCTTCTGCTTCCACTGGTTCTGCAAGAAGAGAAAGAATGTTTGCCAAATGCTTCTGCAGATATGTTAAATGATGTGCTTCTTCATCAGTTTGTGATGGCATAAAGCGGCGGCTGTTGCTACGAACAAGCTGCAAAAAGATGAAATTGAAGCATAATTAACACTTCGATGATAAGAAGAATTAGGCACCAGCAATTGCAAAGAACAAGAGCTGTTACAGCACGAAATGTATAAATACTTGACCACTTCTTGTAACATAAAATATATCAACCATACCACTGAAGCCAAAAATGTCAGAAGACTGGCGGATGATTAATACATTACCAGAACACACTCTCAGCTTCACCCGAGTAAAAATGGAAGGAACAAACAAAATAAGAAGCCATGGAAATACAATATCCATTAAGTGGACAAATAATTAGGTTCAGTCTGCAATAATCGGGTACATCATTTGACAAAGAAAGAGGATCAAAGATAAAAAAAGAGAAAGAACAACAAAAGATCTTCAGAAAGCAATCTTTCATTTTACATACATCTATATAGATACTATATAACATATGTGATTGTGAGCCTATCAAAAGCAAGAATTGGATACAAGATTTTCATACTTCAGTGCCTATGGTACAACCCATTAACAATGATATGACAATTTGAAGTAGCTAGCTATCACTCCAATAACCAGCAACACCCCCATCAACGAGACAAAGAGCCCGTTCAGCACCTTTCAGACACGCTAACATGCATGGCCAGAGAAATGCCTCAATGAACATCGCCCCCACTTGATAATCATTAGGCTCATTTATCAACCAACTATACTCACCATCAATGCAGTATACCGCCAAACTTCGGACAAATGAAATGCAACAGATATCTTTACATGTATAACAAAATTCTAGCCCAATCCGATGCACGAGAGGAAGATGGTTCTCTTCCACCAGGTAATCGAGCTACAACATTTCCATTTCCACACCAACCAGATCGCACACAGTAACACAACCCAAAAATGGAGTCACATTTCAAAATTTAATGGGTTCAAAACGTGAGACACTTACCTGAATTGGCGATAACGCCGACAAGTATCCATCGAAAGCGGAAGTGGATGGCCATACATCGGCAACCGCGGCGGAATCCTTGTGCGGCCTAGGCAGCAACTTCTTATACGATTGAATGTACAGGAACAAAATTAGATCCCGCAAATCAGCTCCGACCGAATCAACTTCTTCAGCTTTGGCCAGAACAAGAGGGTCGGAATCGGAGTGGAGAACCGACGCGAGGGTCTCGAGGACGAGGCGGGCATGGTCGCCGGATATCTGGAGGGCGTCGGAGAGCGCAGCCGATCCGACGCGGTTGTTCGACGCAGCTGCCACGAGCTTTTCCTTCACCGGACCTAGGGCTTGGATCGGGTCGGAGAAAATGAGCTTCTGGATCGGGAGGAGACCGTGCTCGAACGGCTCCCGCCTAGGGTGGATTACCGAATTCGGATTCGGCTCCGGGTCCGGCAGCGATGGCGGTGGTGATTGGTCGATTAGTTCTTCTGACATAATTGCTTCACGAGGGAGAAGCGAACCGGAAGAGGAGAAGAGAGGGGGTAATGCTTCAGTGTACGCATGCGTATGTTATTAACGTCTGCGTCATTTCTCTGAGCCGTCGGATTTGCGAGTCCAATCATGGCGGTGACACGTCAAAGAAGCAATTAAATTTTGGGATAATCCCATATTCCCCCACAAATTTTCGAAAAAGTTCCAATTTCCTACACCAATTTTTAATTTGACAAAAAACTACACCGGATTTCAAATATTTCTAAATTCCTACACAAAATCTTAAAATGTGTTGCAATTTCCTCCATATCCGTAAACGACGTTATGTTCCGTCAATTTTAATACTGACGTGGCATGCCACGTCATACAAATTT